ATTCTCTCCCCATTCGTCTTGTCTTCTTTCTCTTCATATCCATTTTCTCCTCTACTCCTTCTTATCTTCTTTCGTCATTCTCGTTCATATCTTCTGCCTCCTTCATAGTTTTCACTTTCTCCCTCTTTCCATCCTGATGCATGGGGTTGTGCGTTCGAGGTCTGAAGAGAGCATGAATACAAATGCGCACCAACACAGGGGACTGCAGGAAAGCATACGCGGCCAAACTTCGCTGCTTCGGAGGAAATGTCAACAGTCATTCTCAGTGATATAAACAATCGTCAGGAACCTTTAGAATCGATTACGATAGGCGGTTTCCATCTTCTGTCCACATTTCCTGTACACGGTAGTTTCCGAGGGAACCATGCCATGTACAGTGAGCTCACTGTCGCTGGCTTCCCACAGCGGCGGCCCGGTTTCGATCCCGGGTATGGTCAAGTGGGATTTGTTATGAACAAAATGGCGCTGGGGCAGGTTTTCTCCGAGTACTTCGGTTTCCCATGCCAATCTTCATTCCACCAATTGCTCCACAATCACCCTCACCTATCATCTGGGGCTGGTACAATAGGCCAAAAGTGGCCGCAGTACAAGGGACTTAGTCCCACCCCACTAGCAATAAGAAAAAGCGCATGGGTGACGTCACAGAAACAGTGTGACATTGCCTGTTGTCGCATGCACGTGACCTGGAATACAGAAACTGTCACCTACTTGTAACTGAAACGCACTGCTCTACAATTCTACCATTCCACATCGAGCAAATAACAACTGCAAAGTAGAACATAGTAGTAGAGTCGGTACAGCGACTGGATACCGGCTGGACGGCCCGGGTTCGATTTCCTGCAGTGCACGATTTGTCTCTTCTCCACGGTGTGCACACCGACCCTGGGGCCTACCCAGACTCCTATGCAGTGGCTGTTTCCGTGGGGGTAAAGCGGTAGGGGATTGATGCTGACCACTCACCTCCATCTAGCGCCAAAGACAAGAATACGTGGATCTATACCTCCATTCTCCCATATATCTTCATGGCATAGAAATACCTCCGTGGGTTTAGTCCGCAAGCGAACTGTACCGACCGAGCGACCGCCGCTTGTCGGCGAAGTTAGTGCCAACTTTAGCGGATAGAGGGTATCGCGTGGTTAGCGCAACGAATCCCCACGGCCATTAATTTCGGTTTTCTAGACCGGAGCCGCTATTTCCTTGAAATAGCTCCTCAGTTATCATCACGAGACTGAGTGAACCCCGTTCCAAACCCACTACTTCTCAGAAAATGTGGTAGTGCCGGGAATCGAACCCGGGACCTCGATATCTATAGCCAGGAGCTCTGACCACTAGACCACAGAGGCGGTCTCATGGCATAGGCCTTGATTAATTAAGCACAGGTATATCTTTAGTTTTTACAAAAATTACTACGTGGCGAAATGAATGCTCGCTATACGACTTCTATATGCACTCATTATTCTTATGTGAAGATATGTCCTTGAAATGAGTAGACAGAGAAGATCATAAATAGGCTTTCTGTATGAACGTCTGTAGTTCAAGGAAACCCTTCATCTGGAGATCATGTCTGTTCTTCTGAATATGTTGCCTATAAAATCGTTTATGGTTATGGACGAAATTTGACAAGGGAGGTCTAATATTGAGAGAAGAATTTTATATTCTTTTATACTTTTAATTAATTTTTCATATTTTACGTCCAAGATTAATGTGCTTTTTCTCCCTGCATAAGGCTGATATCCCGAGAAATTTTCAAGAACTGTTCAGTCTCACCTGCTGATTTTTCGGTAAACTAAGACTTGTGGATATTCCAAATATGTATATATATACATGTATATGTATATATATATATTATATATACAATTAATAAATAAGGATATACATATATATATGTATATTCTTATTTATTAATTGCACATAAATCTTATATATTTATCAAAATACCTTTTGATTTTATATAGAGGATAAGGCTAGGTATCATTTTCCGTTATTCTCACCAAAATCTCAGGAAGAAATATTCATAATGATATAATTAAATATTAATTCACCTGATGTTATTATTTTTTATTTAAAACAGTTGCATATCGAAAGTTCTACGTCACTGTAGAAACGGTGATGCCAGAATTATCAGAGATTTAATTATAAGAACAGGATTCTTCATTTATCACAATTTGTTATAGAAAATGTCGATCCACTTGAAGAGAATGTAACATTCCAGCGTCCTGTTACACTGGTTGACGATTTAGTTTTTGCAGGGGCAGTCTTGAAGGTACAATTTCTTGTCGTGTTCGTATCTGTTGGTGCTCTATATTTTCACTTTTTTATTAATGTTACATCTGCAAAGTTTTTCTACCCTACGTGGTATTCATCAGGTAAATATTTTACCTAATTATTGCACAGCATTGCTTTTTCCAGGTAATTGCTTTAAAACTTGATAAAAAACTAGTTCAGAAAATTGTCAAAATTAGTTTAAAATTATATTTTAAATAATTTAAACCAATTTAAATTGGTTAATTTATTTAAAATTTGCTTTTAACTAATTGTAACAATATTAAAAAAATAAGTGGAACAAGTTTTAAACTAGTTTTAGAACAATTAACTGGAAATGGCAACACTGTTCAGCAATTACATAAAAGTATCTGCCTATGGTTTATGCTAATCGTCTTACAGTATATACACTTTTCCACCTTATTCTTCACTTCCACACTACGTGTTTCAGCACTAATGTGCCATCCTCAGGTGTCTTTATGCCCGTTAAACTATTGTACTGCATGCCATGATGTCTTCATTCTAAAATGACTAAAATCTATATTCGTCATATATGTCGATGAATTCTAAATAATAAAACTTTTCAGGATTCATCCTAAGTCGCACTCAAACACGCGAATTCCGCCAATCCTCTTTTATGTGAGCATACTTCCTACATACATTTGTGTATCGTGTACTGTGTTGTGTTTTGCTCCTGTTACTGCATGCGTTGTACTGCTGGATATGTGTGTGAAAGTGGTGTAGTGTGGAAGTGAAGAATAAGTTGAAAAAGTGTATATACTGTAAGACGGTTAGCATAAACCATGGACATGAATCAGTGTAACAGGACGCTAAAATATAACATTTTTAATAAGTATCTGCCTGTTGATGACATTTTAAGGTTAAAACATGCCGTAGGAGTAGCATTTACATAAAGTAGGTGACAATATATATGCACCAACACTATACGGGCACTTCAAGAAGTTAATATTCAAGACTGCCCGTGCAAATTAAATTGGGAAGAATTTGTATGTACGTTACTATATGTAGCACTATATGTTCTGAACTATATGTGTTAAAGTAATATCTTGTATGTGTCTTGTATATGTTATGAATTCTTAAATCCCTAAATGAAGCACGTGACCAAGGTTGGTATTTGAAAGAAAAGGGCCGAAGGGTGCGCATTTTACGTGTTCATTTTTATGACATTGATAATAAATCTTGCCGTTAAGTTTACAATACGAAACCGATGTTTACTTACACTTGGAATTATTGCCCGTTGTATTTTTGCGGCTTCACAAAGATGTCGTTTTTCTTCTTTAACAAACTAGTATTTATTTTGTTTCATAGGCTGTCATAATGTATATAAATGATATTAATTTGTGTTACTGCTCTTACGATATGAGAACAGTCTGTGTAAACTTTTGCCTTGAATGCTTGTGTGTTTTACATACATGTTACACCCCGTGTTTAAGAATTACATTAACTAAGGATACTAGAAATTTTAGTGTATTTCTCTCTTTCATATTTTAAACAAAATCATAGAATATTGGTGATTATAGCTGAGTCGGTATAACGATGGGCTACGGACTGGACGGCTAAGAAATAGGGGTTCGATTCCCGGCAGAGGCAAGAGATTTTTCTCCACTACGTCCAGACCGGCTCTGGAACTCACCAGTTAGTCGCTAGATGGCGTGAAGCTGACTAGGTACCTGTATCTAGTGCCTAGATTACGATGTGAATTTATATCTAGATTCCCTCACACCAGGAAGAAGCATTCAGCAAACAGAGCTGGACTCAACGCACTGTTTCCATCTTCAGGGTTGAAAAGTAATCCAGTCAAACAAGTATCCTACACTTCGACACTGAAGATGGAGGCAATATGGCCTTAAATGCCAGTGAACTTCTACCAGATTATACGGTGTTATATGCCAGGAGATAATACTTTTCTAGTCACTCCTGTGAGAACCTCAAATCCAAAATATATTTTCTGCTAAGGCAACTAATTTTTACTCCCCACTGAATTATGAGTACAAATGAAATAAAATTACGTAATTAAGTTTGTTCCATCAAAATATTTTGAAAATATCGGAAGCAATGCCCTGTTTCGACTACAACTATTAAAATTGCCCCTTTTAACTTCTTTACGATCCTCCAGTTTATAACGATTCAGCGTTTATACATATATTTTTTTTTCTGAAAATCCTAGCCATTTTTTTTATAAATTCCGTTGTTATTATATTAATGTCTGTTATTCTCGTGTATAATCTGATATTTTCATTGCGTTTATGATCAGTCGCTTTGAAGAGACACGTTTCAGCCTTTTTCGGCCTTCAAATCCACCTGTGATACAATTTCGACTTAATTAGGTTTGTCTCATGTTCAATTTAAAATGGTTTATGTGAAGGTAATGATTCCGAGTGTACGTAAGGGATAGTTGAGGCCTCGCCATAGCTCAAGCGGTTAGTAGCTGGCTTCCCATCGCTGCTACCCGGTTTCGATCCCGGGTCTGGTCAAGTGGGATTTGTGGTGGACAAAGTGGCGCTGGGGCAGGTTTTCTCCGAGTACTTCGGTTTCCCCTGCCAATCTTCATTCCACCAATTGCTCCACAATCACCCTCACCTATCATCTGGGGCTGGTACAATAGGCCAGAAGTGGCCGCAGTACAAGGGACTTAGTCCCACCCCACTAGCAATAAAAAAAAATAAGGGATAGTTGGGGAGGAATTCCTCTAACGTGTAGCCCCTGGTGGCAGGTAGCCCGCGCAGTGACTCTGGCCGGCATCGGGAGCTCTCCAAGGTGGAGAATGCTCTGAAAATGCTGCAACTTCAAGAATTGGATCGCTTTTACTCTCCGCGTACCCGGCCAAGGTGAGTAAACACAGCAGACAAAAATTACACCCTTAAAGCAGAAATGGCATAATATTCAGTCAAATGAGGCTTTAAGGCTCTATACGAGTATTTGTCGTGCCACCAAGGGAGCCCACATTTAAATTTATTGAGAATGTTACAGAAAAACTTTGATAGTTTCCCTTTGTAATGGTGTAACCCATTAATATGTATAATAAATTCTTTCTGAGATATAATTATTTTATTTTGGATTCTTTCCATCCGGACATTCTGTACATACGATATATCCAGAGTATGCTCGCATTATGAAGAATTTGTTTAGAACAAATCTGTCGGAATTTTAAGCTAAAATTTCAAATAATATGGAAGACGTTAAGATCTTCTGTCACACTGGTGCTAAAATGACCTTAATATCCTATGAAGAATCACAGAAATTAATTATCAAAATTTAAAAATCCTGTGATCATATTTTTCTTTCGTCCGAATCTCTGTTGTCCTCGTCCGGTTTTTTCTCATATTCCATTCACTTTACTCAACATCGGTTTCCGCGCTCTTCGCTCTTTTTAATTCTGAAATGTCATAAGTAGAGACTGATTATTTTATCTGGACATATGCGCCTGATGGAACACAGTTTTCCAGATGCTGGGAGTAATTCCTTCCTGGCCTCCTGCCTTCTATCGGAAGAGATGTAAATGTGACAGCCTAGCTATTCGCTGAGTCGAGGCTCTCAGGGTGTTAAATGTTAATATTACTGCCTGCTTCGCTGTGACCCTAAAACGGTGGATAGATATCAATGATTCGGAGAACCTACCTGCTCCTTTTTCATGGAAGAAGTTTGACGCAATACATTCATTCGAAATGTTGGTACCTGTCCATCAAATTACATGGTTTTACAAGGCATAAGACCGTAATATCTATGGTCTCACGTTTTCCGCACAAATGCATGCTTCCTTGTTCCATACAACTCGCACGTAAAGCGACCACATGCGTTATAGATGGGCCTGACTTGACGGGAGGAGCTCGGAGACAGAATTTGTTTTACTGAGCTGCTTACACTAGAAGTAAACACAGAGAAAACCAAGTATATGTTGCTCTCTAGTCACCAAAATGCAAGGCAAAATCATGACATAAAGATAGAAGACAGATGTTTTGAAAATGTGGCACAGTTCAGATATTTTGGAACGACTATAACATATCAAAACCTGATTCAGGAGGAAATTAAGAGGAGATTGAACTCGGGTAGTGTTTGCTACCATTCAGTCCAGAACCTTTCGTCTTCTCGTCTGCTGTCTAAAAATATAAAAAATTAGAATGTACAAAACTATAACCTTGCCTATGGTTCTGTATGGGTGTGATACTTGGTGTCTGACATTAAGGGAGGTACACAGACTGAGAGTGTTTGAGAACAGGGTGTTGAGAAGAATATTTGGACCGAAGAGAGATGAAGCAACAGGAGGTTGGAGAAAACTGCATAATGAGGAGCTTCGTAACTTGTACTCTTCTCCAAATACAATTAAAATGATCAAGTCAAAGAGGATGAGGTGGGAAGGGTAGGTAGCACGAATGGGGAAGAAGAGGAATGCATGTAGGATATTGGTGGGAAAGCCAGAAAGAAAGAGACCACTGGGAAGACGAAGGCGTAGGTGGGTGAACAATATTAAAATTGATCTTAGAGAGATGTGATGGGATTGTATGGCTTGGATTGATCTGGCTCAGGATAGGGACAAGTTGAGGGACTTTGTGAACACGGTAATGAACCTTCGGGTCCCATAAAATGCTGGGAAATTCTTGAGTAGCTGCAAAATTGGCGGCTCATCCAGAAGGGCTCAGCTCCATAAGTAAGTAAGTTGCTTACACAAGGTGTAAATCTCTCGTACGTAATCATCAACCAAACTGGCAGCAGATATTAAATTCCTCTTCTTAGCTCTTGAAAGCAATAACCTGTAAAAGCTCATTCTACGAAAAAGGTCCGTCGAAGATCATTAAACTAACTCATGGAGCCGAGCCCTTTTTGAGAAGCCGCCAATTGTGCAGCTACTCAAGAACTTGCAGGAGATTCATTACCGTGTTCACAAGAGACATCCACTGGTCCCTATCCTAAGCCAGATCGATCCTTTCCATACCACATCATATTTTCTCTCTAAGATCCATTTTAATATTTTCCGCCCACCCTGGTCTTCGTCTTCCTAGTGGTCTCTTTCCTTCCGGCTTTCCCATCAATATCCTATATGCATTCCTAGGCGAGGAAAATCTGTGAAGAAACAGACGGTTCCGCTGGCTCCTAAATATATTTCTGTGACTGATACATTATATCGCCATACAAATTTGTTCGTAAATTTCACATAAAATTTTCCCTGTCTATAAAAATTGGGTAATAAATTGGTGCATTATTTCTCCATGGATCAGTTATGTTAAAATCGTCACAATTTGGGGGCACTATTTACAAATGAATACCTTATGTGGGGGTCATAGATGTCCAACTGTCTGTGACTTCCCAGCTCCAAAAGAGTTATATTTTCTTATTCTATAAGGGGACGTTAACAAACTCCGTGATTTTAGTCCGCAAGCGAACTACACCGACCGAGCGACCGCCGCCTGTCGGCGAAGTTAGTGCCAACTTTAGCGGATAGAGGGTGTCGCGTGGTCAGCGCAACGAATCCCCACGGCCATTACTTTCGGTTTTCTAGACCGGAGTCACTATTTCTTTGAAATAGCTCCACAATTATCATCACGAGGCTGAGTGGGCCCAGTTCCAGACCACTACTTCTCAGAAAAAATCTGGTAGCGCCGGGAATCGAACCCGGGCCTCTGGATCTGTAGTCAGGCACGCTGACCATTAGACCACAGAACATTTACGACTTCTCAGCTGAATTATGAACGGTTGTTATGCTACTAAACACATAAAACAAGATTTTTTCGGTAGTATTGTGACAGTTATGTCAAGGAAATAAATATGATAACCTATTGTATGTAGTATGTTTAGTAATAATCAATAGGATATCCTTAAATATAAATGCTGAAATAGACAAAAACGGCATGCGATGATCGATATTTTCTTAAAATCAGATGTAAATGTTTACACCAAATATTGCTCGCAAATTAATATTTTCAGTGACATGATTCATAATAAAACCTGGTTTACATAAGACCATAAGAAGAGGCTTCAAGTGAACTTTTCTTTGTTCTTGTGTTAGTCTCCCTTATTACTTACATAGGGTTTGAGTTTATCACAGCTGTGATTATCAAGAATTCTATCTTCTGAAATATAAGGCCGTGTAATCCGGTGAAGGTCAACCGACGTTTCGGAGGAACATGTCGCCTCTAATTTAAGGATCGGAGAATAAACAAAGCAAGAAACCAGCGCTGTTTTTTTTTTAATTACATAAATTAGAGAATTTTGAGTCGAACAGATGGATGGTCCATTTCTGCTTTCAGGTTCATTAAATTAAAAGCATTGTGCTGACAAGTCCCCTGATATATTTTCTCCGAAATTTAGGCCTATATTTAGTTTTAGTGTTAGTTGTCAACTTTATTTGTAAACTTTTTAACGTTCACAATGGTACCCTTCGGCCCTATACATGTTTCATGTATTACATTAATAAGAACCGCTTTACTCTAGAAATATTTATAATCCTCTTTTTTATTCGCATAGTAGGGGAGTGGAGTCCAGCTGGGTCCACTCGGCGCGGTCGGCCACTGTTTGGGCCTATTGTACCTGCCACGGGTGATACAAACCCTCTTAACGATATCCTGCTTTTACCAAATTTTCATTTTATATTCAGTTAAGTATCGAGTTATTTTCTGTTAAAATGTTAATAATATTGAAATCACTATTATTATTTGAATGAACAATCAACTTGGTTCCAAAACTAAAGCCTCTGAGTAGTATTCAGAAGGTACTCGGTTAAAATCTCGGCCAGGACACCAATTATCCTGATTGTGATCTTTCATGAATTTACCCAGTCTTCCTAGGAAAATGCCTTAATAGTATCTTCACTTATGGCACGATATCTTCCTCACGTATCGTCTTCAGTTCATTGTTCATTGTCAGTTCTTTGGACGCTACATAATCTGAGTTTCTGATTGGGTCGCTAAAGAAGCTACAACTAACAAGTAGTAATGTAACTATTGCTGTTGCTATTGAATGCTTATGTGATGAACGATATTGTTGCTGTAATGTAGCTGAAGATTTTGTTGCTTTTCATTTCAGGTTCGGCAAGAGGGCAGAGCTGAGACCGGTAGCTGAACAGGACACCTCTCCTGTAAGTAACTGTTCAGGCAGATAAGAATTTCAATTTAGAGATCATGGCTGGTTCATGTCTGCTTCCGTACATACAGTTCCTTACAGATTTAATGCAATCAACAAACTATAATAGTAGTGACACCACATTCTGTTATGGCTCAGAAATAGTTGCGCAACTCTCATATACGTAAGGTAATAGAATATGATCGTGAGTCTCGCGGGATTTGGAACTAGGAATTACTGCGCTGGCGAAGGCCAGAAGCAATGTACCCTACCCGAACCTGTTATACGTATATTTGTGATAGTACTGGTTCTAGATATATTCCTCATTAGGAAATTTAAATCAAATTAATTATTATGACGAACACAAAATCACTCACTCACTCATATTGCTGAGCCCTTCTGGAGGAGCCGCCAATTCTGCAGCTACACAAGAATTTCCCAGCATTTTATGGAACCCGAAGGTTCATCACCGTGTTCACAAGAGCCCTTCACTGCTCACTATCCTGAACCAGATCAATCCAACACATACTATCCTATCCTATCTAAGATCCATTTTAATATTGTCCACCCACCTACGTCTTGGTTTTCCCAGTGGTCTCTTTCCTTCTGGCTTTCCCACCAATATCCTGTATGCATTCTTCTTCTCCCCCATTGATGAATACAAAATATGTTTCAACATCTTTTTTTAAACTTATCTTCATTAAATAGTATATATGTAACAAAATACTTTGTAAACTCATGTACGTTTTATGTTATTGCGTCATCAAAATGCCAAGATTCGGTTCGCTTGAATAGTCCTCCCTATATAGCCACTTCAATTGAAACTGAACTTACGCTCTTGCAGAGTTTTATGAGTTTATTTTTCAAAGACGCCACATGTTCAGTCCATAAAGTCTTCAAGACTGAACAATGAAGATGCGATGTACATTCAGTTACAGCTAAATATGTTACTCAGGCGCTCTCTATAAAATAAAAAGGTAAAGCTATCCCTGTAACAGGCCATGGAGGCCAATAGGTTTGTGAGACGTCGAGGTTCCTACATATTCTAGACACAGATGGCGGTGACGTCAGCCTTATGTGCCGGCCACCCTTTACCCCCAGGATGATTCCTGATACTCATTTCTGTTAGAGACTGACTCGACCCCAGGGCCGTATTGCGGCTGGAAGGATTAGGTCAACTGAAAAATCTGATGACATCTTCGGGATTTGAACCCATGACTTTCCTGTTTATAGCAAAGTGCCTCAACCAACTACGCTACCGCGTGTCCCCAGTACAGTTTAATAAACATACACAAAGAAAATTTTTTGCTCTCTTAATTATTCTAAGATAATATTACATTTCTTACCAAATTTCACGGGCATGCGGTAACGTCAGTGGTTGAGCCAGTATGCTACAAGCCGGAAGGTCGCGGATTGGAGTCCCAACGAGGTGGATTCTTTCAATTGGCCTAATCCTTCCAGCCACACTAAGGCCCTTGGGTCGACTCAGCCTCTAACAGAAATGAGTACCAGGAATCTGCCGGTGCGTAAGGCTGACAATCTCGCCGCCATATGCGAGTCGATTATCTAGAAAATGTGGGAGCCTCGACGTCTCAGAACCCTTTGGGTCTTCACGGCCTTTTACAGGGATAGCTTTACTTTTTTTTTACATATGAAAAATAATGTAACAGATTTGATCAACGCGTTGCCAGGCAACAGCTCTGTGTACACGTTTCAACACTCAACAATAAAAGAGGCTGCGTTTTCCGTGTCTGCGGTGACGTCACTCAGCAGTTTCTGGTGGTCACGTGACATGTGTTTCCTGCGATGCGTGTCCGTTCCTCTGTAGTCGTTGTATACAGTACGTCAAAATCTTGACAGTTTCTTTTTGTTCACTACAGTTGCGCTTGTGAACGATAGCGTAGCTGGTTGAGGCACTATGCTATAAGCAGGAAGGTCGCGGGTTAGAGTCCCGATGAGGTCCTTCTGTCGACTCAGCCTCTAAAAGAAATGAGTATCAGGAATCATCCTGGGGGTAAATGGAGGCCGCGCTTAAGGCTGACAACCTCACCGCCATCTGTGAGCCGATTATCTAGAGAAAATGTGGGAGCCTCGACGTCTCACAACCGTATGGGCCTTCACGGGCTGTTACAAGGATAACTTTATGTTTGTTTTTTTAGAGTTATGCTTGTAAGACAGTGGATATTCTGTTCTTACCTTCACTAGCTCGCGTCTCACAGCACGTGACTCGATACTTCCTTGACACAGCACGAACGGTTTCACCACAAGTGAACGCTGTACGGTGGTCCTGAACGCAGACTCAACTGCAGTGCCTCTCCTTGCCTCGCGACTCTGGTTTTATCCGAGTAATATTTCTAGATTACACCGCGAGAGACGAGGCAGACCAAGTTTCCGAAACTCGCTAGAAGAAAGGGGAAGTCTGGTATACGCACACTAGTTTTGATGTGATTGGCCTCCACTCCCCGAATTCATTCGGCTCGACAGTATATTAATATGAATAAGGATGCATGTGTACTTCCATTCATAAATCCAATATACATTGATTCATGCATATATGAATATATGCATATATACATACGTAGATTTGTCTACTGTACATATATATACACACATATGACAGTCCTAAGGCCTTATTTTTTTCATGCGGTCACTTTTCTTGTAATATTTGTTTCTCTTACATTGCTTGTGACTTTTGTGCTGTAATTATTATCCATCGCCGATCACAATGGCCGCGCATGAACCGTCTTCTCTTGCTGGAACACTAGGAGCGTGGGTTCGAATCCCACTCGAGGCATGGATGTCTGTGTGCGTTTATTATCTGTTTGTGTTGTTCTGCGTGTATGTAGCGGCCTTGCGATGGGCTGTTCCCCCGTCTAGAGAGTCCTACCGACTATATAAAACTGAAAAGGCGGGCAAGGTTCAAAGGGCTATAGACCCACAGAGAAAAAATTATTAATTGTCTCTTCTGTCACTTCTTGTTTTTGATTGGTTTTATTGCTGTCGCTAAGTACTTAAATAATTGGACTGAACTGGCTGAGCATTATTAAAACATATTTACTTATCTCTTTTTTTATTGCTAGTGGGGTGGGACTAAGTCCCTTGTACTGCGGCCACTTCTGGCCTATTGTACCAGCCCCAGATGATAGGTGAGGGTGATTGTGGAGCAATTGGTAGAATGAAGATTGGGAGGGGAAACCGAAGTACTCGGAGAAAACCTGCCCCAGCGCCACTTTGTCCACCACAAATCCCTCTTGGCCAGACCCGGGATCGAACCCGGGCCGCCGTGTTGGGAAGTCAGCGACTAACCGCTTGAGCTATGGCGCTGCCCTTCTATGTATCTCTCTATCTTTATTCCTGTTGCTCCCAATTGGAGCACATAGCATCCTTGAATCGCCCCACTTCACTTCAGTTTCTAAATCTCAGGCTGTCGGAGGACCCCTTTGAGGGGAGTATTAAAAGCTGCCCATCTCCCAGTCTCCCCTTCGAATGCAGTTTATTTATTTTTCGTTTCCTGAACTACACTGACAGTAGCCAAGCTTATATGGCGCCAGATGGATATAGCTAAGTTTACATATGATCGGTAATTAGGCCTAGTACAAAACAGGCTACTCAAGAGTTAACCCTGTACAGTTGTATTAGGGAAGTGCTGGGTTCGAATCTCGACCTTTACACTGACTTCCTTGGCTTGATTTTACCATATATTTCGTCAGTGTCTTCAGATAAATATCTGCCTCCATTAAGGACCGACCGTGTCCTTCTACATCCTTTCAAATTCATCATCCCAGTATTCGACCATACGCTAGATACAGACAGCGTCTTATGCCTGGTGAATAATGAATTTTCTAGAATGCGAAAGTGATGGAATGCGCTCCAGTTTGAAACAAGTTCATGAAATTTGCCAGGAGGGGCTGACGGACACTGTGAGATACGTCAGTCAGTTTATTCGGGCTCCGGAACGAGTCTTGAACCCGGGATATCCAAAGTATGGAGCAGACATCGGTGTTCAGTGATAAGCTTTATGAAAGTTACAGAGAAACAGACGTTACGAACTTCCATGGCGTGATATGTGGTTATGTGATATACTTCTATACATAAAACCCTTGAAGCAGTTTATTCACTGTGTTGGGTAGCAATTCCCTCGAGATTAATCTGGCTGTGTGTGTAGTGTATTGTAGTTTAGTAGTATAGTATAGTGTAGTGTAGTGAAGTGTAGTGTATTGTGGTGTGTGTGATGTAGTGTAGTAGTGTAGCAGAGCGTAGTGCCGTGTAATGTAGTGTGTTGTGGTGTAGGATAGCGTAGGATAGTTCCTGGCTACACATCCAGAGGTCCGGGTTCGATTCCCAGCGCTACCAAATTTTCTGAGAAGTAGTGGGTCCGGAACGTGGTCCACTCAACCTCGTTGGGGAGCTGTTTCAAGGAAATAGCGGCTCCGGCCTAGAAAACCGAAATTAACGGCCGTGGGGATACGTTGCGCTGACCACGCGACACCCTCTATCCGTTAAAGTTGGCACTAATTTCGCCGACAAGCGGCAGTCGCTCGGTCGGTATAGTTCGCTTGCGGACTACAGGTCACGAAGTTTGTTTCGTTTCTGCTTTGTTATGCTACTAAACAAAAAAAAATAATTATTTTATTCCGGTAATGTTCTGGTAGTTATATCAAGGAAATAAATAATATAACAAATAGTATATACTATGTTTGACAATAATCCGCAGTATATTCTCGTATATAAAGCGTAAAAGCAGACAAAAAGAAGCACGCGATTGTTGAGATGGCTTTCGCGTAATATTTCGCACTACATTATTTATGTAGATATTAACGGTAACCCAAGACTGCACCATACAAGGGCAAAGTATGTCGCCTGTCACTGTATAGGTATTGTCACGTGATCGACTATATATGGGGTTTGGGTTGGCGATCGGATTTATTGAACACTTACAGAACGTAACTACAAATAATTACGACAGTCTCACTGAGTTGCACATTCCGAAGATCACTGTAACTACAGCACACATAAATTTTTCTCACTGTTTACTAGCCGTTGTCTGGTAGCGGCTTCCAACGGCAGGCGTTCCTCTTCCTCTGGGCTCCCGAACTGTTACCGGCCTCAGCTACCAGCTTCTCACTGACTCAACTAACTAAAACACTACTCAAGATTTACCTTACGACTGGCGGTTTACCGCCAATCATTTCGTCTTGACACTAAGCCCCTTGAGGGTCACCATCAGAGATTTCCTTTTTGTAACTGAACCCTTGCTATCATAGTCCTATGTAATGTCCTCTCAAGTCAAAGTCATATTGCGACTGACTGTCAGTCAGTCAGTAAGTCTTGGTGTCGAGCCCCATCTGGGGCTCATGACCAAATACTAATTATTACCGTTTGACAGTTACGGTCTTATTTTTGTGGTGCGCCCTTTCTGATGAGAAGATGGGTCTGTCTTTTCTATATGCTGCTGGCCCTTGCCGGTGCAGTCTTTCTCGGGTTCGAGTTCCTTGAAACTCGCGACCATATTTTACTGTCTCAGATTTGAGACTTCCCTTTTCGTCGCCTCCTACGACTCGCAGGGTCACGGTGGTGGTATTCGACCCCTCCTCCACATGGCAATCAATGTCCTCTCGAATTATTAACCCTCGTTATATAGTCCCCCGGTACGGACCACATAGAAAACATATCATTATAGCATGTTCTGTCGCTGACGGTGGAGCGTGTTCACAAAGCTGTTGCCTATCAAAGGCTGTTGTACTGTCGCCTGTTTACCCAGCTGCTACTTGGCAATGGGCCTACGTGACACAATATGTATCTCTTTTCCATCACATGCTTTTCTTTCTCTCTGGCTCACAGAACCAAGTATGTATTTACATCAAATTTCTTGTTTCACGGCGAGTAGAACACAGGCAACTGTATCTGAAATGCGTTGGATATGAGGTCCTCGTAGCGGTGACTTTGAAGTGTGTAGTACGGAGAGAGATCGATGCTTCGGAGGAACATGCAGAGAAGGAAACCATCAGTCGCAGATAGCAAACTAAACTAATTCCTGGCCGCGCCATAGCTCAAGCGGTTAGTCGCTGGCTTCCCACCGCGGCGGCCCGGGTTCGATCCCGGGTCTGTTCAAGTGAGGTTTGTTGTAGACAAAATGGCGCTGGGGCGGGTTATCTCCGAGTACTTCGGTTTTCCCTGCCAATTTTCATTCCACCAAATTCTCCATCATCATAATCACCAAGGGCAAGCTACAATAGGCCAATCAATGACCGCTGTGCCGAGTGGCCCCAGTTGAACACCAACCTCCACTAAGCGAAACTAATTTTTGAATGTCGAACCAGAAAAAGCAACAAAAGGAAACCGCGAATTTGCCTCCTGCTTCTACTGGATTTTTGTTTGTATTAATCTTCGACGCTGCAGATGGAAACAGTACTTTCTTTTGGACAGCTTTTTTTTTCTGTGGCGCTACAGCCCCAATTTGGGCCTAGGCCCACCTCCATGAAACCCTCCGTTTCACTTCGGTTTACTAGATCTTATACATACGGTAGGACTCCTTTGGAGAGTGATCAGCTCGTCGCAAGGCCTCTACCTGTAGGCAAACACAGAAAAACGCACATAAACATCCATGCCCTGAGTGGGATTCGAACCCACGTTCCCGGCTTCCGAGCGAGCGAAGACAATGCATGCCTTAGACCGCTCGGCTACCGTGACCGGCTTTTGGACACCTTACTGTCTTTGAATTAATTACATCCCACAAGCCAGTACTAACTTTTTCCAAAATAATTCGTTTTCTGTTTTAAAATCCTCCTCATTATCTTCAAAATTTACCGAAGAGAATAAAGTCATGAATATCTAACGAAGATTTTTTCGTACTTTTTCTCAGTTACTCTACACAGATGCCTGCAGAACAAATTAAAATAGGTTACGACAGTTCCGTATGCGACTATATCATTTCCCGTTTCATTATCCACAGTCAGGGTATATTTCTTTTCTAAAGATATATCTACGAAGCAGGTTGCACTAATGGTGACGCTTTTGACTTGTATTTCTGAGGTTCTTGGTTCGAATTCCGACCGGTACACTAACTATCCTGACTGAGGGCTTACGTGATTTTCCTCAGTTCGTCGAGGCAATTTCCGGGATGACACACGACCGTTTCCTTCCCAATCTTTTCCATTTCATCATCATTCATCCTACAGTCCGACGTCACATAATCTGAATTACACACGGCGTCGTTAAAGATATCACAAACACGAATTTCACAAGAGTCATTCATATTATATGAGTCAGTTCCAGTTTTCCTCAGGTACCAAAAAAAATCATATTAGTGTGAAGGTAAAAATAAAGTTGTCCCTGTATTTAATTAATTAAACATCACGCCATGAAGACGTATGGGGGAGTGGAGGTATAGCTTCAGCATGCTTAATGTCGAACTAGATGGAAGTAAGTGAGTTTCACGCCCCAGCCGCTTTATCTCCGTGGAGCGCACTGTAGCCATTGGAGAGGATTCTGGGTGGGTCTCGGAGCCGGGGTGAACGCTGCAGAAAAGAGACAAGTGTCTTGCCTTTGTCGGTAATCGGATCCCAGCCCGTAACTGGACGTTATACCGACCGAACTACCGCCGCTTGTCGGCGAAGTTAATGCCAACTTTTGCAGATAGAGGGTGTCGTGTGGTCAGCGCAATGGATCCCCACGGCCGTTAATCTCCGTTTTCTAGACCGAAGCCGCTATTTCCTTGAAATAGCTCCTCAATTATCCTCACGAGGCTCAGTGGGCCCCGTTCCAGACCAACTACTTCTCAGAAAATCTGGTAACGCCGAAAATTGTACCCGAGACCTCTGGATCTGTAGCCAGTATCTGTCATCACTAGATCATAGAGGCGGTCATATCTTTAATAAATCATTTATATTAATTAATTTTATTATTTTATTGTTTCTTTCCTGACCATTTTCTTTCTCACATTTTAATATTATCATCTTTTTATTTGCGTGCATCATGTTTCTTCTCCTTCATCCATACATTACTTTTCCCGCTCTTTATATATATTTTTCATTTATTTCTTACCTTAACCTATCTTTCTGGTTTTTATATTCCTAGCAATTATTTTTTTTTGCCTGCAGCGGGAACTGATTCATGTTCCTTTAATTACATTTCAGGACGATTCCAATGACAGAATGTGGCGACGCTTTTCCAGCAGGAGGTGAGGTGCACATGAAGTCAGGCGCTGAACCAGCACACCGCCAGTTACAACAATCATGATCTTACTATTTGTTAAACCTTCGTCTTAAAAAGATTTCAGCCGTAGTTGAGTATTTTAACGTGAAACAGCATTAACAACGATGTAACAACTTGTGCCCTGTAAAGTATACAGAAGTTTGTGATGGTGTCTGTAAATCCATATAACCTGCTAGTTGTTTTCCCAGCTTTTCTTTTGTGCTCTTGGAATTCCATTAATTTCTGTAGTAAAGAAATGTTCATCACATATTATTGTACAGTATTGTCCTGAGTAAAATATAATTTTACCTATAAATTTTATTATTTGGCTTCGTAAAAAGATTTTCTACGTTCCTACATCGCCTTTCCTAAATTTCCCTTTCACTCTACTAACAAACTAACTAACTAATTAACTGTCTAAATAACCTGCCTCTTTTCCTTTTCTCCTCCCGCTCCCACTTTGAGCACAGGGCTGATTTCTCGGTCTTGGTCTTCCTAGTGGTCTCTTTCCTTCTGGCTTCCCACGAATACTTATTCTTAATTAAGTTAAATTAAGTACAGTAGCTGTTAGACGTGTTTGCCTTATGTTTAAGGAGAGTTGATGTAATAAGTAAAAGTAAAGCTATCCCTGTACCAGGCCGTGAAAGCCCATATGGTTGTGAGACATCGAGGCTCCCACATTATCTAAATAATCTGCTCAAAGATGGCGGTAAGGTTGTCAGACTTACGCGCCGGCCGCTCTTCACTCCCCATTAAAATTATTTAATTAATTCTTGGTATTCATTTCTGTTAGAGGCTGAGTAGACCCCAGGGCCATAGTGCGGCTGGAAGGATTAGGTCAATAGAAAAAGAATCCAGTGGCCTCATCGGGACTTGAACCCTTCCAGCTTGTAGCATAGCCCCTCAACCAACTACGCTACCGCGAGATAACAGAACCAATTAATTGACGGTATATTTAAGTTTTCGAAAGAGGAGTCTATGTTCTGTGTGATCCAAACTTGTCTACTTGTTAATGCCAGTTTCCGCATCAAATCCCGTCTGTTGAGCCCTTACTCACACACTGGGACAGCTGTGTGCAGCGAGCATCACGAGAGTATTACTAATATAGCGACAATAATCCAACATAAAGCGAAATAGTATGGTTGCAGTGCTTTACACCATACTGCAGTGGCGGCTAGTTATGCCCGCGGCCAATAACGAATCAGAAGTTGATACTGTACATTCATTTCTAATCTTTTGATGGATATTAGACTGAGCTTCGAGCCATAGGATGTTTTGTCAAGGAAACTTCAGTTCCATCATAACAAAAATAAGTTAATTTTTTTCAAGAAACACGTCTTTACAATTTTTACATTTTAGTATTATAAAAAAGAGGTAAAACTATCCCTGTAACAAGTCATGGAAGCCAATAGAATTTTGAGACGTCGAAGCTCCCACATTATCTAGACAGTAGGCTCACAGATGGCGGTGAGGCTGTCAGCCTTACGCGCTGGCCGCCCTTTGTCCCCAGGAAGATTCCTGGTACTCATTTGTGTTTGAGGCTGAGTCGACCCCAGAGCCATAGTGCGGCTGGAAGGATTAGGTCAACTAAAAAATCCGATGACCTCATCGGGACTTGAACCCACTACCAAACAGAATTTGTTATTTTTTAGACCTCTCTAGTGTTTATATTAGCTATTTCTATGGAGCTCAACTGAGTAGGCGTCTTTTTCCCTCTTCACCTGAGGACGGAAACATCCAGTTTCCGAAATCTTGTGTTTTCTAGTTTGTAGAATACCGCATGATGGACAAAGTCCCAAAACCGAGTAATTCTGTGTTATACGCCATCGTCAGAACCCTTTAAAATAGAAGACGGTGTTTTCCACGGAGTCCGTGCAAAGTGATAATTAAGAAGTGTTCGGCAGCAATAAGCTTATAAAAATATTTATATAGCTAATTCATTACACACAAATTATTTAATTCATTTATCATGTCTCTTATTCATTCTATATTCTCCGCCTGTAATTACGGTAAAAAGAAATGTAATGGAAATATTACTTTGAAGAGCACTATCTCCAGAGACGTGGTGACATGTAGCCAATTAGAAGTTTCAAAGATGTTTCGGAGTAACATACTGGCTCAGAGGCCTCCGTAGTCTAGGGGTAACGTTCCCACCTCATGACTCAAGGTACGCGGGTTCAAACCCGGCGGAGGTCGTGGAAATTTTAAGGGCGGAAAAATTCAGGGAACAAGTCCTCCGGGAGGGACTTTAAGCCGTGGGTCCCGTGTCGTAGCTTTACGGCACATAAAAGAACCTCATGTCTCCAAAGGAGGCCACTGAGCTAAATTAAAGGCATTTCCCGCCCAACAGTAGTCTCTAACGCCTCTGGTAGACGGGGGAAGCATTGAGATACCTCTGAGACAGTAGAGGCCGACCTCGCTGGCTGAGGTGGGACTGATGGTAAGCACCAATACCGGTAGGGTATAGAGGCTGGTAGAAGATTATAGGGGGACGCACAATAGATCAATCTGGTCGCGGTGCATGGGGAAACCCACCCCCTACAATAATAATAATAATAATAACGTACTGGCTCCGCTTCAGTATCGAAAAATAAACTATATAAATAAGTTGCAATCTCAGAAATTTCGCTAAACGTCCACAACACAATGCGGTGTCACTTCCCAGAAAATATTTATTTTCATAATTACCGCTGTTATAACCTAAATTCTCACAATACTATTATTCCCTGTAGGAGGCGAACATATATACAGCAGGTGGCCTCAGAAAAGATAGTATGACGGATCTGAAAGCAGTATTCATGGACAGGAACAGTGCCACCCAAGGGAACAATGACATCAGAGGAAATAGCGCACGATTCTGAGGTTTAATCTCCCTCTCAGATAAAGAGACCCTTATAACTAGGGCCCGTATGGAAATACGTTCCAATTGAAGCAATATATACCCTCTGCTAATAGATTGCTTCTTTCTTCTAACAATTTTCGAACGATTTGCTAACCATTAAGCAACATTTTTCTGTCTAAAAATTAAAACACCGAACAAAAACCTACGACAAACTACAAACAATTTGTAGATTGAAAATGAAATGGAATCCCCAAAATTAGAGATTTCCCGGAAATTATCGATTTCCAAAACGCTACGATGGTAGCTATACCTCACTCAATATAAAAATTGGCTACAGGCTGGGCGGTTCAATTCCCGGCAGAGGATATAAAATATTCTCTTTTCCACAATATCCAGACCGCTTCTGGTTTCCACCCAGCCTCGTACCCAATGAGTAGCAGAGGTTCGTTGTGTAAACATTTGTACAGAATCAATCATTTCCCAGCGCGAAGCTTCGTGAACTGAAGCCGTCGCGTCACAAGTGACAAGGTTACACGGTCCCCTGTTTGCAGAACACAGTGTTCCTTTTACAAGCAGCTGGTATTATTCTAATCTCATTCATGAAATTCGAAGACCGAATGGGTTTGTATGACGTCAGCTAACTTTTTCAGGTTTGAAAGTGGGCTAAATATCCAGATATCCCGACTGAGAATTGTTGTAGTTTTCTTTAGTTTCCTCCAGGCGAATGCTGGGATAGTATATTAAATAAACCAGTACCTCATCTTTCCAGCTACCTCATCTATGATAAAACTGCGCGGTCGAAACAGCTTCGACCAGTGTTTGCCTGATATATTCCAATAGAATCTAATTAAGTAACTCCATGGAGTCGAATTATTCTTGAGGAGCTTCCAGTCGCTCAGTTAGTCAAAAATTTCCCAAAAATTAATGGAACCGGAAGGTTCATTACCGTGTTCACAAGAGCCCTCAACTGGTCCCTAGTCTAAGCCAGACGAATCCAGTCCACATCTTACCATGTTATTTCTTTAAGATTTATTTTAATATTATAATATCTACACTTATACTTAGGAATCCCTGATTTTCTTACATATTAATCAAACATAATCTACAATATATATAAATATTCAATAAGTACAGGCTCCTCAGTGAGTTATGCTCAGTGGCGTTCACTTACGTATCATTTTAATTCTTGTGCTGCGGTTCTACTCAGGTGTGTCTGGTATAGTTAGGACGGTGTATATTTTCGGTATATGTGTAGTTTCGCTTTTGACCAGTAGGTTCTCTGCTAGTGCATTAGTGTTGTTTTCTAATTTGCTTAAATATTTGGTATTCCCCTCTTTTTATTTCACTGAACACTGCTTTCATTTGTAGATCTTCATGGATCTTGTCGCTGTTTATGCGTTCAGAATGGATCTGAGAGTCTTGGATTGAAAGCACTGGAAGAAATTCCTAATGGACTCCTTTATTTTTAAGATTCCTGCACAACTTCGTATGTATATCGCGTGCTTCGTGCTTAGCCTATATATGCTACTTGATTTGGTCATCCTAATAACATTCAAGATAAAAACAAGACTACATCTAGCAATACTAAATGATGATAAACGGTAAGGTGATCATGGTTTATGTCAAGACACTGTATCGACTGCGGAGGTTATTCAGCATTGAATCTTGGATGAAGCTGGCTCCCGGCTAACGCTTGAGCAGACATAAATACGGGGAGGGGGGGGGACTTGGCGCCTATATAGACATAACCAAACTCCTCGAACTAAATTTCACATTGGATCACAAAGAATTGAAATAAGGTAAAGCTATTCCTGTAACAGGCCTTGAAAGCCCATAGGGTTGTGAGACATCGACGCTCCCACATTTTCTAGACAATCGGCTCACAGATGGCGGAGAGGTTGTCAGCTTTACACGCCGGCAGCGCTTTATCCCCAGGAAGATTCCTGGTACTCATTTCTGTTAGAGGCTGAATCGACCCCAGGGTCATAATGTCGCTGGAAGGATTAGGTAAATTGAAAAAAAAAAGGTTCATCTCATCGGGACTCGAACCCGCGACCTCCCGGCTTGTAGCATAGTGCCCCTAAAGAACTGAAATAAATATGTATAACTTCTGGAGCCTCTCAGATTGCACTGACTGTACTGGATGCGTGAGTGAGTATCGAAGTTACGTTCAATTGATTTTCAGACAGAAACCTTAACAAGTTGCTCTCCAATTATATTCGCAATCTCGCCCTTTGCTACGTAACGTTCTATAGGAAAGAAGGAAGAAGTTTAGAATATGTGCTCTTTCATTTCCGTCCCTCTTTTGCAGGACAAACGCTTTCTCATTGATAATTTGTGAAGCTATATGCTTTCTGTAAAAACGGCATATAGACCATCGGAACCTGTCTCCTTAAAAGATGATGATTTACGCACGAACCTTTCCTTCCGTGCATTCTGAGAATTATCATGCTAACTGTTCAGATAGTTTTAAAACTGT